AACATAGCATTTCCACCTCCTTATCTCGCCTGCCGGCCCTTCCGTACCTCTTCGCCCGCTCGAGACCCCACCTGTTGTTGCAGCAGGCAGTCGTGAAGGTCGTGAGCTGCCTCGAGAAATGTTGGGTGGAGGGGACCCACGTCGTTGATGTAGTGCACGAGGTCCTGCACAAATTCGATTCGGTCCGAGCAAAGGCGTTGTGTCGAGGGACAAGACCGATCAACCTGCGGCACTGCATTGCCCGACGGCGGGGTAATATCGTGAGAGTGTACATATGGCTTGCACATCCACCTCCTTGGCGCTTTCCGTGAGGACTCCATTATTCAAGGAGACCACAATTCACGGGAAGGAGGTGCGACTCTGATTCATGGTACATCGGAAAGCTGAACAAACTGAGGGATCGGCAACCTGCACCATGAACGACCGAGAGAGCCTGAGCAAGCTCTTGCACGTGTGTACATACCCGAATCGCGTACTCCCACCGCCCCAAACGCTTGTAGTCCCGGGCCCTTTGGAGCAACGCCTGGACAGCGATACATCGGTGGTCGACGGCAAAAGTGAGTCTGTATCCAGGCATTTTGTCAACACTCAAATATCCGAAACAAGTAGATACTGTACGCCGAAATGCTGTGTTCCTTCGAGGGCAACTATCCCCCTCCTCCCTATGTTTCTGCCCCCCAGCGTCTCTACCCGGCCCTGGCGTACGGCCTGGGTATGCCAAAATTTCCTAGGAAAGTACATCGAAGGGTTGTTGACCGCCCCTGCTGACATATCCCCTCTGCTAGGCACCTGCCGCCGGAACTCCGGCAGAAAAGCGTGGTCGGGAACGGGTGCCGGCGGGGGGGGCTAGAGAGGACGGGGGGCGGCGGCGGGGGGGGGGGGAGAAAGGGGAGACGGCATTTTGACATTTCATTTCGTTGGATCCTGAGAGTGATATGTGAAATACTGCCAACAGCTTTTGTTAAATTACTTGTGGTCTTTTTGTTATCGAAGGCATGAATACAAAGGACTCTTGCTGGCTACTCAATAACGGCACTACTGTAGTCTCTCCACAGTGATTGCTGTATCCCTCTTCCGTATGTTTCTGCCTCTCTGCGTCTCTACCCGGCCCTTAAAAACACGCACATGACCCACTTCCCGGGTCTCCCACACTTTCTACAGTTTTCCCAAATGACCCGTGGGACACCCATGGGCCTGTGGGCGGCCCATGGGCGACCCATGCGCGGCCCATGGGCAACCCATGGTTAGCCCATGGGCGGCCAATGAGAGGCCTTCAACCGAACCAGTGGACACCTAAAAACTAGATTATCTGCTTTGGAACGGGCTTTATAGCGGCAAATTACCCTAACGCAAACCGTAACCCTAACCCCAAGCCCACACGATACGTGCTACAGTAGGTTGGCGCTCGTGACTAAGTTCTAGGCTGATGTGAAGGTGGTCAATTTCTACTGTACATACATAGGTTGATAACCGGTGGCGAAATTCTAGGATGCAGTGCCCACGGTGGGCATTTGACGGGCCGCCGATATGGGATACCCATGGGTATCCCACGGGCGGTTCAGCAAAACTGTCAGTAGTGTAGGAGATTGCACTCCCCTAGGAAAATACAGCAAGATTTGTTGACAACTGCGAGGGGAACTACAGAGAGAGAGAGAGAGAGAGAGAGAGAGAGAGAGAGAGAGAGAGAGAGAGGGGAGGGGGGGGAAGAGAGAGAATGGGGGGAGACGGCATTTCGCACTACATTTTTCTTCGTTATCCTGTGAGTGTTGAAAATACTCCCTAGCTTTTACCGGTATTCGATTTGTTGCCGAAGAAATTAGAAAACCAAAATACTTGTTTCTGTTCAGTATCGGTACCAGTCTCTCCACGATACGTCTCCATGTATCTGTGTGTACGCCAGCTGTGTATCAAGGTAGGTTTCTCCACGCAACGTTCATGTTTCTCATACTAAGCGAATAGAGCGTGCGTCTCACTTCATACTCTAAGCCAGCCCCTCTTGTTAGGGATTTGGAAGACGAACCCTTTGGCGCACTGGGTTTTGATTTGGTGCGACCCAATAATCTCGTTGTCATCCAAACAATACTGTTTGTTATTGTCAGATAGAAAGGGAAAGAACAACACGACACGAGCAGAAAAACACTCTTTCCCCCTGGAGGAAGTTGGGGTGAGAAGGTCCACGGAGTACCGAAACGAGGTAAACGGTACCGTTACTGGGGAATATACAAGATTCGAAGCAGTACAGTAGTATCAGTCTTCAAGGACCTCCTGTGTAACCGTTCTCTTGTTCGACCCCGGAAAAATACCCACGCCAGACATACAGTACACCAAAAATGTGGGTAGCCGAATGCGGGTAGCCGGGTCCCAGAGTAGATGGAACCAACACAACAAGAGTTTCGAGCGAGCTGACCTTCCGCACAACGAATGCCAGAGGCATAAGACTGTAAAACAAGCAACAATATGTAAAGTAACAATATGTAAAGTGGGCCTTAACGAACATGAGTACGAAGAAGAAACCTTGGTAGATTCGTCTGCTACCGTTCCTTTCCTTGATCCAGCGAGCCTCTGAGTCTTCCCCATGAGGTATCCCTGCGAATTATGGCGTTCATTTTTTCGTTTTCAGCCGCATTAGAGATGGACTGACCTCTCTTCAAGGGCCATCCGATCCTAACGACAGGGACACATCTACAAACAAACATGGCTTTTGCCGATGTGTCCGGACTTCGAAACTTCCGCCCGTATGCACTACCCCGAAAAAAGTGCACCCACAGTACCTCTTGGTGCTGGGGATATATAGCATGGACCATTCATTGGCAAGTTCACATATATTTTGTCCGAAAGGAGGGTGTGGGCTTACAGCAGTAGGCCTGCGAGCAAAACCATCGGTAATCGCCGTACTGTTTCGGATCTCTCCCCATGTCGGCCTCATGTGCTTTCCCTGTGCAGCCAATGATGTTTACCCGGAGTCTGGTCAGTCCCGAAGATAGACTACTGTAGCGATAGACTAGAATGCGAAGCTGGCATGACCCAGCTTTTCATGACACAAGAAGCCAGAGCTTCTTCATCAGTTTTTGACTTGTTCGTGAACAACAAAGGTCTCCTTACCTCGGGGTGTGCCTCCCTTTTTAAAGCGTACACCGCTGCTATAATAGCCCCGGAGACGAGCACCATCGGGAGGAGTAGCCCGAGGACATAGAGCCCGCTTTCGTGCAGATCGGTCATCAATCAGAAATGAAGGCGCGCGACACCTGGTTTCATGACCAGTAGTGACGAGGCCAATCCTGAAAAAGTGTCGACCTACACACAGTAGCACTATCAGGCCTGAACGTTATGGAAAAGCACCTGCCGCAGCACGGCGTACATGATGCATTCGTTGTGCCGACCGCGCGAACTGCGCAATGGTAACCTGTTGATTCGAAAAAATATGAGCTTTGATTGTTGATTGATTTCGTGTCCCACCACCGACTCCACGGCGGCGAAGATGTTGATATTATCGATACCAGAAGCGATGACGCACCTACATACATATAATCCCATACCTTCCAACCCATACCTTTAGACCAGGAAGGCGTGGGGGACTCACGCGATCACCCTGCTACAATAATAGTACATTGGTGTAGAATGGGGGGATTTGCGCGGGTTGCCGGTTTTCCATTCTCGAGGCCATTTGCGTACTTGTAGGTACTGTACCTGCCGTGAGTGGGATGATACGAAGCGCTCAGTACGTGCTACTGCAGGTACCTCTATCATCCCGAACCATGTAAGTACGCGGCTGCTACTGCTGTACGGCCGTCGTGGCTGTCTCGCTGTCACGACGCGAGTATGCCTTTGAATTGCCCCGAGTCGCGAGCATGTTGAGTATCCCGTCGTACATCGGACATCCTACTGCTTATAGCGGTGCCGTCCGAGCGGAGGAGAGACGACGGTTGAACGTTACCTGCGGATCTGCTGGGAGACCTTGGGATGGACGGCAGATGGCGAAGACGGTGGATAAAATTGAAGAGTATGGTAGTTGAAGAGCTCCGTGTTCTCGAGTCTATGTGACAGGGAGGAACGGAGGAACGGATTCAAGTCTAAAAATCCAAGTTTTTTTTTTCTCCGGGCCATGCGGAAGCGAAACAACATTTTCAGCACCTTCATCATCTCTGCGCCCACATGGCCATCATCACTTTCATCGTCGTCGTGCTCATTGCAGAGGTGGCGGACGAGCACAAAACCAGCGGAGCTCTCCTACAGGTACATGTAGATCCCTTCTTCATCGCAGAACACCTTTTAGTCTAAGCATACATACGTCTGGAGATAGATATGCTGCGTGATGAAATCTCGAACTAGGCGCCTGTCTGGAATGAATCGACAGATAGAGACGAGTACTGCAAGCTGGAGAATTCTGAGCAGGTGGGAGGCGAACCACCGCATGGCGAGAACTGGTGGTTGTCCCAAATCGACGCTGCGATTCCCTCCTCTCTGAGAGTAATCGTGTATGATTTATATGCTGAACGGGGATAGTTTGTTGCGGCCTTTTCGAACAGGCCGCCGGTGGCCGGCCGCGGTTGTGGCTCGCGGGTTGTTTCGCAAGCGTTGGTGATGTTCCGTCGAAACTTGACAGGATAAGTGTAGTCCGTCTTAGCTCGGGGATGCAATTGGGTTGAGCTCACGTGTGTCTTTACATTGTCCAAGTATATACAGAAATCACAACTCTTGTCTCGTCCTGGTTGTTTTCCAATGTCATGGGGCTTGCACCATGACACGTGCCACGCCCTGAGGGTGCTAGCCCCTGCGCATTCCCACACGTCTGCGTTCCTACTGTACAGCCACGCCAGTCAGTCGAACAACAGTAGCCTTGTGAAGGAACGTTAGATCACAAAGTATCCACAATACCCGAACAGGTTCCAGCATTTTCGTGCAGCGATTGGCGGAGATTCATGCACGGGCCACGGCCGGAAATCGCGATGGAGTGAAACCGTACAGACGTACGTGGGACATGCACGCCTCTCCCGACGAGGACACCCCTACACGAGCACCAACACCGACACGCGTGTCCGACTACTCCTGCAAAACAAGTCCCTTGCAAAGCAGCAGCATCACTTCGGAAGATAATTCCGATCGCTCATGGCACCCAAAGCATTGGACGCCGGTTGTTGCTAAACCGAAACCCTAACATGGCAGGTGAAGGCGAGCCGCGCCCTCGCAACCCCAGAGCGTACACCACCGTCCCTCTTGGTGTTCGACGTGCACCGTACATCAGGACGACTTGTACATGACGCCCCTCACAGGTTTGAGCTCCTAGTGATCAGTGCCGAAGAGCATACACGATGAGGTGAGTTGGCAGAGCGGCCTCCTCATCGTACACCACGAACTCGTCGAAGTTCAGCCCTCGGCCCACCTGACCGAGTGATGACCGAGGTTGGGCGGGTGACATAAGGGCTTACGTTGCGGCTGTTATGTCCTCTACCTCGCATATTCAGCGACAAACAACACGCAAGGCATGGAATCCCAATCAACCGACGACACCTCCAGTTTGCGGATGATGGAGACCTCGTGATTCTCGAGCGTGTACCACAACAAGCAGGACCGGCGGGAAAATGCAGAGAACGCCAAATCACCCTGGCTTGACCTACAACGTCTGTCTTTGGATCCTCGATTCGAGTTCGTGTATGCATATCATCTCGTGTATTTCCGCTCAACGCTGGGAGACCAGACCGAGCGAGACGTTTGTAGTTCCGACCTACGCATTCTGACGTCGATGCTGCCATGACAAAAAGTTACTGTGTACGTTGTTCCAGTAGACAACCTCAAGATAACACACCCCCCGGACTGATTTTCGAGGCTCGATTTCTCAACAGCAGAACTAGTCACAGCGCCGAGAACGACGGCGTTGAAGCCATCTCATCGGGAGCTCTGTGATAATATATCTATGCATCCTCTTCGCCGTCGCGTAACAGAGCATTGAACATCGGTCCAGGGGGTGTGTTATCTTGTGTCGTACACGGTATTAACGTGTGAACCACTATATTATTATGGTACACACACAGAAACACCGCTTCCTGTGACCAGGAGCGCGACCCCGGCTCCCGCAACCGCGAAACAGCGCGGGAATGAAAGCGACGCAGCCTGGACAACCACGGCTGTGTACGGCTTGGAGTACGAAGAAATTCCCGACTACGACAAGCTCTTGCTTTGAATGTAGCGGGGCGGAGAAAACGGAGTCTTGAGCCACGGAAGGGGAGGCAGTACGCGTTTCTCAGGTTTGTTTGGGGCCATTCACGTCGAGGCGGCCGGAACCCAAGGTCTGAGTTGTAGCACTTGAAACCACGCCAATGGCAACGACATTGTTTCCGTAGAGAGAGTTAAGCTCCTTCCCTCGATGGCAAATACATACCTCTCCCACCACAGATTGGTACCCAGGAGGCGGGCACTGGTTTGCCGGGAGGCTGGTACTCTTGGTTTTGAACGTTCTTCCCACGGCGACGTTGGCGACGAACATGCACCTCAGCTCCGAGTCGTTGCCGATTTTCTGATATGATGATCAATCGGAAGAGGAGAAAGGACCGGGCGCGAGCGAGACAAAAAGGGACCACCCGGGAGCACATTCATACATGCGGCGGCGAGAAGGACGTATCATATCGCTACCTTTGTTCTATGGCCAGGCCGTCAATGGACTGACGAGCGACTTGCTGAGAGTGTTGGATACTCTCTCTACGCCAACAGGGAAACTCGGTCCATGACCTACAACTTCAGTATTAAAAATGGATGATACGCGGGAAAGTGTTGGTTGAAGCAGCGTGTCTTGCATGCTGCGAGGCTACTACACCGCAATTCTCTGTTGTATTATGTTTCCATACCGAGGATCACGTAATGTATGCACTGGATTGGACGACGGCTCCTGCCTGGCCTGGTGTGCATGCCACCCCGCGCAGAGAAAAAAAAAACTGGTGAGCCGCGAAGAATTCCTCATTCCCCACGATCATGCGCACCTTGGCCGAGCGCGAGGCGTAGTCGTTCGCCTTGCCGGACACGCTCGTCAAGTAGACACCCTCCCCGTACCGAAGCGGAAAACCGGTTGCCCGGGCCGTGCCGGCGACGTTGGCTCCCAGCTTGAAGCCTAGCTTGCAGATGTTGCAGACGCTACAGCTGCTCTTCCCGCACGGGGCTTGTCCACCCTGCACGTCAACAGGCCCCGAACGAGTGGATAAGGTTGACTGACGAGGCGCTGCGCCCACAAGGAGGGCAGGATACAGGAGACCCGGGCGCCGGGGCGTGGCTGTTCGAACCGATCGGGACGAAGTAAACTAGCCAATCAATACTTCAAGCGGGTGGTACACTACATCAGCCTGCCATCTATCTATACAAGGGCCGCTGTTCACCTGTGGGTCGACCATGAAGTTGCACCCTTCGTTGCAGGAGGTGCCGTGAAAGCGTTGGCACAGATTACCGAACTTTCCTTTGTACCGCTCGTGCTCCTCACGCACCTCACGAGAAACCTTGTGAGGGCAACCGACAGGGGCGTTAGAGCTGATCAACGAATGGCAGCGAGGCGAGTGAGTGCAGAGAAAAACTCCTGTCTGAAATGCAGACTGTTCTACTCTTCCTTTACACCACTTGTAGCGCGGTTAGGGGAGTGGTTGCCGAAAGGACTGCTGGTATCTGCCCATTTTGACATGGTGTGGCGAGGCGCGTGGCAAAGAAATATCAGCTTTTGTCCATTTTGACCATTCCGAAGAGCGTCCGTCACGTGCTGGTTGTCCAAAACATAACGTAGGCGAGATAATGCTTGCACCAAATTTCTGGTGTTCTATCGACTTTTGTGTTGAGAGCAGTGTTTTCGCGCCTCATGAATACACATGTTCGGTTGTATGTTCGGTTCTAACCGACATTTAATGGGGTCAACGTAGTACCTGGATGCTGAAGATGCGCTCGATAGAAACACCCTTTGCCGGCCGTGGCTTAATCCACCTGTTCGTGGGTCTACGGACATGGTTTGGATATGTTAGCCGTACGTACAAGTGTGACGCAGATGGTGTAGAACCTTTTAGGTAGGGGTACGGTGATGATGTACCGGGGCCCCCTTTTGTTGTGTGCAGCAGCCCTGCTGCCACTCCTCCTTTCTGAGCACGACAGCGCCCTGGGTACGGGCGTTGCCTCACCGTCTGAAGTTAATACACTACACAAACAATACCCGATAAGTACGCGGAGTACGGCCGACAAACACTCTAGAGTTTAGATTGATTGTCCCTCGAGGGATAGCCGCATCGGGTCATGTCTGCGTCGGACAGCGGTTCCGTCGCAGGGCTGGGGGAAGAGACCTCAGCCACGCAACAGCAACACGCCGAGGATCCGGCGATTGCGAGGCTGGAGGGCCAGTTATCGCAGCTGATGAGCGTAGTGATGGAGTTGAAGAGGAAGGAGCCTGGTGACGCCGTGGCGGGCGATGCCAGTAGGGGCGGCGGTGCTGCCGTCCCAAGCCAGAGAGAGGCTCTGCCGCCTGGGGGCGGCGGGGCGTTTTCCCGGGAAACGGCCCGTGATGGGCGAAATCACCCGCGGGAAAGCAGCTGGGACAACATACCGGGAGCGAGTCCTGGGGTTCCAGCGAGAGTGACGACTGGCTGGGCAGGTAGATCGGGAGCGAATCCTGTGGGGCCAGCCGGAATGAGCCCGGGCGTAGGACCGGACCGCGGGGAAGCGAGGGGGTTAAACCCCCAAGGTGAGCAAACCGCAATTCGAGGGGCCGGAGCATTTTTTGATGGGTACAGCAGTAGTAGCCAAAAACGTGTTACGGTCAATGCACCGCGTCTCGAAGGGGAGAGTCGCGGCCACGGGTACGACTCGTGGAGGAAGGCACTTATTCAAGCCGCAAAAACCGTAGGCTTGGACGGGCAGCTTATCGGCAACGCCGAGAAGCACGCACCCGTCGGTGACCCAAACAGGCCTAGCTCGGAGCTGTATAGCTTGGGCTACACAAGTGATGAGGTTCAGAGGGGCCTCCAGGCGTTCCACTTTGTGACTACAGCCATCGTCCGAGAAGCCGACAAGGCAATCGTGAATAAATGCGAGACCGCAAAGGAGATCCTTGCGGAGCTCGACAAAGTACACAACCCGGAGTCGCAGGGCTCGAAACAAGCCCTCATGAAGAAGATGTTTCGATTCACGATCCCCGCACACAGCAACAGCAACCCTGTCGAGCATCTATACACGCTCGAGCTGCTGTACTCACGACTGCGGGAAAAAGGGCTCAACGCTGACACACCTTTTGTTCTCGCACACTTTGTCGATGCCCTTCCACCCGAGTACCAACAAGCCAAATTCTTGTTGGAGACGGCTACAAACCTGGACCGGGGCGAGATAATCAGGGTAGTCAGTACCGTGCACGCGAGCCTCCCGGAGGGGAGGAGGGCCACGAAGGGCCAGCGGAAGGCGGAGCATGCTTTCCTCGCGAGCGACGGTGGCAACAGGGGCGGAGCGCCCGGCCGCAACAGCGGCGGCCACAGCAAGGGCGGCGGCGGCGGTGGCAGCCAGAAGGGGAAAGGGGGTGGTCGCAAGGGCGGTGGTGGTGGCAACAGCGGCGGAGGCGGCGGCGGTGCAGGTAGCATGCACGGCCGCTGCTTCCGGTGCGGAGAGAAGGGTCACCAGGCGGCCGCCTGTACCAAGCCGGAGCCCCTGCGATGCGAGAAATGCCTGGGCTACGGACACGACAAGAGCAAGTGCTCGTCCGAGCAGGCGGTGCTCGCGGTGGAGCTGCCGGTCTTGGACGCCACCGCACTGGACGTGGCAGAGGAGGCGCTAGTGGTCCGTGACTTCACAGGCGAGTGGAACAGAGTCGTTGATCGAGGGGGTGTAGAGCAGGCCAGGCAGGAAAGGTTTGTGGCCGATACCGGCGCAACCAACCACATGTTCCCGAGCGCTAACGCGTTCGAAAACTACCATGAGTGCGATCGACGTTTGAGTGTCGCCGCAGGGAAGCAAGCCTTCGCCATAGTAGGCTACGGCGACGTGAGGGTGTCCATCGGTTCTCGCGTTGGGACCACAGACCTGCTGTTGAAACGGGTCGCTCATGTGCCGGAGCTGAATTACAACCTCGTGTCCCTCACAGCCCTTTTGAAGCAAACCAAGGGCCGCTTAGCCGCAGACGAGCGTGAGTTGGAGGTGTTCGTTGGTGGGGGGGAGTCGGTGTACTTCCCTCTATGGGGGGACCTGTTCGTTCAGACTGGTCACCGCATAGACTCGGGTAGGGAACTAGCCTGTGCCATAATTGCTCCTGGTAACGCGAAAGCGAACCGCACCCCCGTTGACATCAACGACTTCCACTGCGCGCACGGCCACTCCCACGAGGTGCTGCTGAAGAACACGGCGAAGCAGCAAGGGGTGACTCTGGTGGGCCAGCTCCGGGAGTGCATGGGGTGCTCGACGGCAAAGGGGCTATCCAAGCCCATCCCCAACAGGACGTCAACCCGAGCAGTTAAGAAACTGCAGAGAGTGTTCGTGGATTTGAGTGGGAAGGCAAGGGTGCAGAGCTTGGGGGGGAAGTGGTACACTCTCATTGTAAGGGATGACTGCACGAGGTGGAACCGCGTCTACTTCTTGAAAAACAAGTCAGACGCTGCAGAGGCATTCGAGAGATACCTAGCGGAAAACAGGGCAGACGGAGCCCCATCCGAGGTCATGGTCGTGCGGTCTGACAACGGAGGAGAGTTTTTCGAGGGAGAGTTCGGAAAGCTGTGCCGCAAGTATTGCATCAAGCAGGAGTTCACCCCCGCATACAGCCCAGAATACAACGGTGTAGCTGAGAGAGCACTGGGACTGATAAAAGGATGCAGCACTAGCCGCCCGCATACAAGCGACGATTCTTTACCCCGAAGCACCAAGCTACCCCCTCCCTTTGGGCCGAAGCCACAGCTTGGGCATGCAACGCCCTGAACTGCACCTCCACCACATCCAACCCGGACAAGAAATCGCCGTACGAAATGTGGCACGGGCACCCACCTCCCCCAGAGGCGACGTACCCGTTCCTCAAACCCGCCGTATACAAGGTCAAGCGCACGCACAAGTCAGAGCCGAAAGCAAAAAAGTGTTTTTACCTCGGCCCTGGAATCAACACAAACCGTGATTGCGTACGCATCCTGAACGAAAAACGCCAAGCGATCACCACTCGCAAACTTCACCTGGCAATCTGTGCCCGCCGCCCCGACCGCGCACCCCCAGCCGCTGCCTCCCATTGCAGAGGAGGACGAGGAGCTCACGACTGGGGAGCACGAGGGCGGAGGGGGTGCGTCATGCCACGGTGGAGGGAGGGCGGAGGGAGAACCTGAGGATGGAGGTTTCTACCTTGACACGACTGCAAACCCGGGGCCCTCGGAGCCGTCATCGCGCGATGCGTCGAGTT